GATGATGCTCTTTCAAATGTGCCTGGCAATTCGGCGATAAAGATTCTGATATACATACTTATGGGTATTTATAATCTGGCGCTACGTGACACTCGTACGACAAAATGTTAAAAAAAAAAAATATTGAAAAAGTCAAAGATTCAAAAAGGTTTTTCTAGATTTGCATAGCAATTAAATGGCACCTTATTCAGTAAAAAAAAAATACAACTTTTGGTGGTAGCAATTCAAAGATATTAGTAAACACACGTGCTGGCGTGACGTTACGAAAAACAGAAATGGGTTTTGACTTCGATAGATATGTACTTTTGTGTGTACGCTGTAGGATCTCGGAATAAACTTAGAGCAGACCACAAAGTAGCCTACAGGTAATTGTAAGTAGTCCGAAGTTTGCACATGTAAAATTCTATTTACATCTAACATTGAAAATCCTAGGCTCGGTTGTAACCAATTTTTTTTTATCAAAACTCATACTAAATATATGTAAGGTGACCATAAAATTATTTTGTAATTTTTTCCACGAAAGCTAACAGACCTTCTAAGACCTTCTTCAATGATCCGTATTTATTTGCGCTGAATCATCGTCCGTATTCGGCTTATATTTTTCGATCAATTGTAAAAGCAGCGTAGTAGTATCGATTTTGGGTATTCGATTTTGGGTATCAGTAGCATCGACGTAAGGGTTGAGGCTTATGAATTCTGATGTAAAAATTTATTTACTACATTGAAAGACCAGTCTAATGTACATCTGTTGTACATACATATGTATGTGTTCATGATTAAAATTACGATCACATGCCAACTTAACGTAAAACTGATTCATAGATTTGCATGTCATATTTATGAGCTGTTAATGCGTGGAAATGCCGAACAGGACATTAAAAGAAATACAGAACATTTGGTGTCCCGTATAAAATAAATAAATTACTAGGACAGTTGTCGAAAAAAGAGGTCTGTCCCGTACAATACAGGACGGATGGTCACCTTAACTATATGCAATACATTCGGACCACTTTTAGTACAATTCACCTGTTTTTAATTACATTGCTTACAATTTCGGGCTAGATACAAAACAACTATATGTATGATTGTACTTTTTGAGCAATTGGATAAATATTTCCTTCAGGGTAAATACATAAATGATACATATCGAGCCCTAACCGCCAAAATAACTTAAGCGACATTTGTTTCAAAACTTTATTTTTGATGCAGAAATATTCCAGGGGCATCTAGATGTATTTCTGCATCAAAAAGAAAATTTTGAAAAAAATGGCGCTTACGTTATTTTGGCGGTTAGGGCTCGATATGTTTATTTACCGTACACTATCTACTCGCTTACAATTTATTTTTACTTGTGGATAATAAAAATGTGAATAATAAAATATCCTTACCAACTTCCAACTTTATTATTTAAATGCGATACGCTTGTATGTACGAGATATACAAATACACACAAATATTTTGGAGTAAATTTAAATCATGATTTTGTTAGTTATATCGCTTTTCAAATAAAATCCTTAAATTATTCATTTTTATTTATTTACTTTGCCGCAAAACTTTTTAGTTGATTTGTGCATAAATGCGCATCTACTATTTATTTACACACATATATATATATATATTTATGTAGTGGTGCATCTATGTTGTTATGTACGTATATATGTAAATTGATTTAAATAATGTCTTCATAGCCGTTACTTATTGTCCTTTTTGCGCTTTGCTCTCAATTTTGATTGTGTCCATGTGTGTGTAATTATACTCTCCGGCGAGTCGCCTAAGAAAAGCGACTGCGCATTTGAGTTTTGGGTGGTGCCCAAAAATGTGTGAGAATAAACAACCAACAATAACAACAATGTGCGTACAACCCCCAAGAAGAGTAAATTTTGCAATACTTCCACCAGCCATTATGTTGAAATAACTCGAAACGAAATGGCGTGCGGAAAGCAAAATAAAATTAAAATAAAGGTTAAATATCCCAATAAGAAAGTGAAATTTCGCCGAAAAAAATTTATGCAAATCGATAAAAGCCATCAGCCTAACGTAATAAAGGATACGTTTCAAGTTTCAAAAATACCCAGACGGCTGAGAAGCTGCCTTCTTTCCATTGTGGAATATAAAAAACACTCGAATTTACATTTTATTAAAGTTTTATCTAATCTATAGTGTGGCGAAACCACCAGAAAAGTTAGCACCCGACAATTAGCGATAAAGAATCTTTCACATTCTTCCAATGCTACCGCTAACAGGTACCGCGTTGAATACTTTCTGGACCAGTGGGTTTCTGTCCATTTTTACTACATGGCCAAGCCAGTAGAGCCGATGTATTTTAATTCGTTGCTCGATGACGATGTCGCTCATACAGCTCAGTTAAGACTGGTAATACATGTCGATATCATCAAAAAATTATTTCCGACCGATTTAGTTCGGTGGCTCTTATTATATTCTTCAATATCAGCTTAAAGAAGTCACAAGATGGGAGTTCGCCCTGTCTTAAACCGCGTTTAGTATTGAGCGTCTCGAAGACTTTCCCAACTCTGGCGTATGGTGGATTTACCAGGCCTGAAGATACAATTGGCTACACTTTTGGCAAATTGTGGTTGATTGACTTCGTCATCCCCTATTCCGTCTCTCCACTAGTTGCAGTGCAATTTAGCAGCGTGGCAACGTTTTGTCTTCATAATGGCTCTGATCCAACACTTTTCGTGAAAAATACTGTAAAGCTGTCAAACTTGCAAAATTACCCTCTGAAATGAGAGTAAAAAGTGAGTAACAACAAAAAGTACGGGAACAAAAAAAAAAACATTTTTCCTGTAAAAACGTAACCCAGTGATTGCTTGACACTTCTCATGATTTTACCAGAAGAAAAAGTTCGGGTGAAATCTTACGCCTTCATTCTCTACACAATTCTCCAAAAGTCGCTCTCATTTACAGGATTTTGGAGTACGGGAACATTTTTCCTGCAACTTCCTGTAGTTCGTGTAAAATCCTGTAAGTTCATGGAGTACTGGATCAGAGCTAATATTAGCATGCTCTAGACATCGGTTACTGGTTCGCCGTGTTTGTCTAACAGAAATTCGCTCTGGGCTATAAAACCTTCCATAAATCACTAAACTTTCTAATAGAATGTCCGCGTGTTTTGCGGGTCAGCCAGCAACTGAAGCTGTAAAACTCACATTTTTCTGCCTACCTGTATTTTAACAGCAATTAAGTATCGGCTTCCTCTCCAGCTTCTTGTATAAATCCAACATACATAGACACATACACTCGCAACCCTGTACGTCGAATCTTTTTTTTTTCTGCAGCAGTATGACATTCCTCATTGGTATCAGTGGTTCTTTCGGATTCGCTGAAATTTAGTTACTTCTTCAGCAGCGGGTCTCGTTTTTCTTCTTTATTTGGGCGGTCATTGGATTTCGGAGTTCAACATAGTACGCCAACGTTTCTCTTCTGCTAACAGACGCCAATTGAGAATTCCATGCAGGACCTAATTTTTTCAGCGCAGAAGAGGCCTTCCACTGCCACCACCAGCAGGTAGCGCATCGAATACTTTCAGAGCTGAATAAGGAACTGTGGCGGTATGAGGTTTAGTTCGGGTTAAACTCCCTCACTGACGAGGTAAGGCTTTCGATTCCTCCTCCTCGTAAAGAAACTCAGTGTTATGGAAAGTCTCTTCTTATGTTTCCTAACATAGGATCTGAGCGCGACAAGGGAGACTAAGGTGGATTTCTGAGAATCAATAGCGTTAATTGGCAATTTTATATTAGAGAAAGACAGAATTCCTCGATGTCGAAATATTTACTTGAATGTCCCCGCACAGAGTTAGAAGAGGTTTACTGTCCCTCTCACTCCTATAATAAATAAATACCTATGATCTTTCGACCGCTAAATCTAATTCTACAGCACTATCACCCCTTACGCCGTTGGCGCGACAGTCGAGTCCACGTATTCCTCTGATTCCCCAAAACCTCTTTGGTTGTTTTTTTTTGCTGTTTCAACAACAACGAGCCTTACCACTTTTGATGCCGAATCTGGTCGCTGCTTGGCCAAATAGGAGAATGTGACCTTCTTAGGATGCCTTTTGTTGTGAAAAAACCGTTATTCCCTTAAATATTAATTCAAGAGGCATACAACCCTAATCCAATTTTTTATTTTCATGAATTTTCCAGTTAGCAGTTAAATTTCAGTTTGTGCTGAGTCGTCAATACTAATCATAACAATCTTTATATTAGCGCATTACAACTTAATAGTACTTGGTATGTGTAATTAAAAATTACTAAGTCATTAAGTTTTTTGCTGTCAACCTTTGAAATTGAGCACAATAGTATAATTCATAAGCAAGTGTTCAATCAAATGTGTTACAGAAAATGATAACACATAGCTGGGTAACTATGTACATTAGGGTGGTCCTTAAATATTGGAAGCAAATTTTTACATCAGATTTCCTAAGCCTCAATCCAAACGTCGATGCTACTACAGTCGAAGACCAGGGGTCAAAGTTCAGATTACCCTATGAAGGCGTATTATCCTCGACTTTAGTAGTATCGGTTTTGGGTAGTATATGAAAAAAGTAAATTTTATTTTTTTTTTGTTCCCATAGAGGAATATGAACTTGGCTCCCTGTGCGACACGAGTTAACCGTCTCCAATCGAGACCAAAATTTATTTGTGAAATCTGGGAGCGTGGTATTACCGATACTGAAAAAATTGTTCATTTGATTTTTGAAGGACCACCCTAATGTGCATATACATATGTTCACATGTATAGCACATAAATATTTATTTGCTATTGTGACTACAAAGAACATACACATCTACATACGTACGTACGTACTTTGTTACTGGCAAAATGAAAATGAATATTTATTGCTTTTTAATTGCACTAATGTGATTCCAAGAAATGTTGATATGCAGTTTGGATAAATAGGAATCAATAAATTTTTTTTGCATCAAAATACTCAATTAAAAAAAAACAAACGCTGTATCTGAACTGGTCTTTGTACTAACCTGAGAGTCCTTCAAGCCCAGTCGTTCGGCCAATTTCTTGCGATCCGGCTTGCTAATATACTTCTGCTGCTGAAATCGCTTCTCCAAGCCCTTGCGCTGCGAGTCTATGCAACAATGCAAATAAATCGAAATGACCACATTGATTAAAGCACAAATCCACAAAATATTCGAATGTAAATTACAAGAAAATGTAAAATAATTAATATTTTGCTCAGCTCTAAGGCCACCCCCCTAATACTTACCGGAGAAGACGGCACGCCGCATCATGCCTCGTCGAGGTTTGCCACGCGTTGAATGCGCCCAGGGGAAGCCTTGACCAGGTGGCAGGGGAAACACTTGCGCTCCAACTGCAAAGATAGCAAAGTAAGAGAGGTAAAGGTATGAGTTTTCACATTGAAAGCGGAGACGGAAACGGAAGTTGCGCGTTTACTTGTTCAAACAATGCAACAATAGTCGAGCGCAGTGGGAGCCTATGAAAAGCGGAGTGGAGTGGAGTTGATTACTGTTGCATTTAATTGTTGCATGCCACACGCAAACACACTCCGCATGCAGCAACGTGTGGCGATGTGTTGACAAGTGCAACAACACCAGTTGCAGACATTAGTCAAATTCTATTACTGCCATGCCACAAATTGCGGCATGCGGCAAATGCCCACAATTGTCCTATCCATGCACCACTCATAGTTGGACTACATCTACATATGTACGTATGCAATAATAACAACAACAATACCCACCACTCATATAGGGATTTCGACAGTGCGCCAACAGCGAATGCAGATGCGGATGTTGCAGGCTGTGCGGCAGGAAGGGTGTTGGGCGGCTGGGCAGGGGCTTTGCTATCACTTGGTGGCCTATCGGTTGGCCGGGCAGCGGCGAGTGGTGAGGCGGCATGTGGGACTGCAGCTGATGTGCTGCCGAATGTTGCTGCTGTTGTTGTTGCAGGTGTGTTGGCAGCTGTTGCTGTTGCTGTTGTTTTTCCTGAGCCGATGGCAAATTTAGTCTTCGATTATTATTATCCTCGATGGCACTGTCATTGTGACCACCACCGACACCTTCATATGGCCGGCCATCGATTGTCGTGCTGATGTTGTTGCTATTGCTGTTGCTGCCACTACCACTACCACTACCACTGCCACTGCCGCCGGTGCCGGTGGAGTGATTGTCGCTATCACTGATTGTGCTGCCAGGTGAGGACGACGACGCTGCGGTTTGCGGCTGACAACTATTGCCATTGACGGCGCCGATGATGGGGTTCAACTGATGTGTCGGCAGGTGTGGATGGTGTGGCGGGAGGTGAGAATGTGGATGTGGATGTGGTAGGGCATGTGTGTGCTGGTGGTGTGTCAGAAAAGCGGGATGTGGAAAGTGGGCATGGTGAATAAAGTTCTGTTGTAGGTAAGGCCAGATATGTTGTGGCTGAATGAATTCTGCAAGTAAGAAAAAAAAAAACATTTTTGAAAGCAATAAATTTTAAGAAACTAACTCGATTTTCGAAAATAAGTATGCAAGTGGCTATTGCGAGAATTTTATTTATCGATATTGATATGAACTGTGCAGCTCTAACTATGCAGCGAACAATAAGAAATCAATTGTCAAGTCGTGGCTTAGGTAGTACGGCCTCCAGCTCTCGCAGGAGAAAACTGAGTATGTGTTTATCTCTAGCTTATCTCTAGCAGCAGGAAACCCGAAGTAAATACTCCGTAGTCAGAACCGGGCCGGTTAAAAAATACCTCCGAGCCATTACAATCTACCCGGAAATAACTATGCAAACAGGAAAGCATTTGGTACAAAGGGTTCATTATACATATGTTGTATGTATACTCGAGGTGTAAACTCAAAGTTGAGTTCATGTGCGCTTCGTGTAGGCAAAGCGTTCAAAACGATTTCCTATGGTATAAAGTGCGGGAGACTGTTGTCCAAAGGTATCAAGAGAGGCAACTTGGTTAATGTTCGCTAGACACCGGTTCATTTGGTATTTGAATTTTTTGTTTAGTAGAACACATGGAGAAGTAGACTTCCACTTGACGCCGTTCCCAGGTGGCCTTGGTAGCTTAAAAGTTTACCTACACGGGTTCAAAACCGAATGGGACCTCGTTTGAGGCACTTGTGGCAGAGACATCACAGAAGATGGGTACTTCGTGCAGGAGTTTCTCTCTATAATATCATAGCCTGCGATGCTATTGGCCCTATAATATAGGGGACATAATGAAGAAAATGATAGAGCGAATAAACGTCCCACCAAGCTGTTCTTAGTGGCAGTACCGAAATTCGGCAACAAAATGGCATGTATCCTGTTTGCAAAGGGACCACTTGAGTGTAGTGCGCTATCACAATCAACTTGAAAAAAAACCCCTTAAAGGGCTAGAAGTGATACTTCAGAATAATCGGGTTCTTGGATGATATTTCCTGAAAGAAATACCATTATATATCTAGTCACCTTTGATTGTGTAAAATTTTCTTTATGAATTAGGGTGGTACACAGGGAAACCTACGTTTTGGAATTTCCTTGCTGCCATCTTCCAGAATTGTGGAAAATTTAAAACAATTAGACCAGTTTTTTTATTTTGAAAGCCTTTTTCCGTAGAATTGCTGTAGAATCGTTAAAAATAAAAAATCGAATAAGAATATTTTAATTCAGAAATCTTTAAATACAATGCATATCGACGACGGAGTGGAAGATTAATCTATCTCGGCAGCCACTTCAAGAACGCCCTATTTCAGAATTTTATTGAAAAGCACCCTATCTCAGAATTTGGTCGAAGAACGCCCTATCTCAGAATTCGGTTCAAAAGCGCCCTATCTCACTTGGAAGTGTATTGAAAATGTGCTGAGATAGGGCGTTTCTCAATTGAATTCTGAGATAGAACGTTCTTTAACCAAATTTTGAAATTTGGCGTTCTTGAATAGTTTTCTGAGATAGGACGTTTTTGAACTGGCTGTCGGGAGAGGTCGATCTTCCACTCAGGCGTCAATATTTAACTATATTATATCTCTTATTACAAGCCATTATCGAGTTTCACCTGTGTGCAATCAAATCTTTCAATCAAGTTTTAACCAAATTCCCGATGACAATGCAAAACGTATTAATCCGTTAAGTGGCGCAGGTGTCGAGATATTTGAAAACCCCATATTAGTCCGATTTGGTTCATATTTAAAATATACATTACTTAAATAAAAGATATAATTCCAAAAAAAAAAAAAAAAAAATTTTGTCGTTAGAGTCGTTTTCTTTTCTTATTCACCACTAATAAAAGCTTGTCTTAAATTTTTTGATAGTTAACGAAAATTTGTTATTGTATGTGTTCATAACCACATCGGGCAGGTTTTAGAAAACTAGTAATAAGAAAAACTTTGGAATTAAATTTGCATCATAACTCTTGAATAACTCAGTGAGAGAGGAAACCAATATGTTTGTATGCATTTATATAAAAAAATATTTATTGGAGTGGGTAGGCATAGAATGCATCTAGGAACTTGGTGATAGTAGTAGCGCCTAATACTATCTTTTGAAAGGAAATATTCTTGTTCGATCAAAAAATATTTCTTTTCAAAGATTTTATAGCAATTCTACGAAAAAATGCATTTTCCCCATATGAAATACATGGACTCCCACAAAGTACCGGCGGCAGGGCTAAATGTTAACCGATTGCCAAATAATAAAATACGGGTCCCCTTATATTCGACAGTTCTGTGGTTAGCTAGACATTTTTTTCGAACCACCCTAATATACAATATACATATAGATACATAAGGGTGGTCCTCGAATGTAGAAAGCAAATCTTTACCCAATGAAGACATCTTAACCGACTCCAATCGTGACCATAACTTATATGTATGTGATATCCTCGACTTTAGTGGTATGGAATGGTAATGCTAGTTTAAATCTCTCATTTCGCGAAAGGACCTTGCCACCGTAATTAATTAATGCAAGTCCGACTTCGCAGCCATTTAACTTAAACTAAAAACTCATTAGCGTACAAATGTCGCGAATTCAGTTTCGTACAAAGTCACACTGTTGGCATATTCATACTTGCATATGTATCTACATACATATTTACATTCATTTAGGTATGTATTTCACTTGTCTGCATGCAAATTCATAAATCCTCGCGAAAATGTGCAAATAGTGGTTGGTGCACACAAAAGATTAAACGTGGCGTAAAATTAGCCGCCAACTAAAATGTAAAATTTCCCATCAGCTAAAATGTATATGTATGTATGTGTGTTTGTATGTACATAACGTGTCCACCCGCACACTTATGCATTCTCAAAACATTCAAAATGCTGACGCTGCACTAAAGAGGCGTTAATACGTTAATTGTTTCTGTCTAATCGAATTAAAATCACAAGCAATCCTTCCTCACTTCCCCAAAAACGCTCCCACACACAAGCACAGGCGGCATCAAGAATTCGAATCAGTGCTTAACTGTGTGGTATGGCTATAGCCAGCAGCAGAGGTTCGAATGTAAAAGTCAAACTCCTATACGCATAGGATACATATGTATGTATGTATGTATGTATTTATCTACGTGTGGTTTTGCACGCACACTACCACACATCGCCACTTTTCACACTGTTGGCGCGCTTTTCATGTTTTTCATACATCCTAAAAACATACCTACATAAATATGTACATATGTATGTTCGCGCACAAAAGTATGGCATATCTGCATTTGTTTGTTTGTTATTTGAAGCACCTTCTGTTGCCGTCGCTTTGTTTTCGACTGTTTAATTAGAGAAAGCTCCAAAGCCTTGGAAAAGTTTTCACACAATGCCACATAATGGCGTCACTTGAGGTGATGATGTTTGAGAGTGTGCGTGCATGCGTGCGTGCGTATGTGGCATTGCTGCCGGAAGGCCTTTAGCCAGCAAATTTAACTTCAAAGCGACGAAATGTTAATGCCTTGACGTGTGAATCGCATACGTTACACACACACCCACACACTCACATATACATATATGTACATATATATAAGTGTAATATTCAAAATTATGCGCAAGTGCTCATATGGTCTTGAACGCTTTACATCCTGTCAAGTGTTATTGTTGGTTTTATAATTATTACGGTTTTGTGCTTTGACACTTCGAAATTGTAGGACTGATAGTCTCTCACGTCTTATCGTTGGCTAAGAGTTGTGCGAATTTGAAATGAAGTTATAATTGTTATAGATGTATGTATGTACTCAGGTGCAATTAATAAATCTATGAATTTAAGAGGCAACATAAACAGTGCGTCTGACTCGCCATTGAGTCATTCAGAGTCAAACATATAACAAAAGTGGGCGGAGATAGTGGCCTGGTGAGCTTGAGAAGCTCAGTTGATTGCCTATTATCTATGACTAGCAAATCGACCATGAAAATTTACATTTCGAAGCTTTCGCCATGCTTCAGCTAAACCGACTTAAAGGGTACACAGAAAAATACAAATATGTACTTAAATACAAAAAAAAAATATACAAAAACATGAAAAATTTTTTAAAAATTTCAATTCAACTTATTTTCACTATGTTTGAATATTGTTGTGTCAACATACATATCAGAACACGCATTTACGCAAATTCGAAAAAATTTGAAACCAAAACCATTCATTCATCTTGTATACGAATAATTCATAAGCCGTTTTTTATGATATCATGCAGTCTTCTAATACATATCCAGTGGTCCTTGAAACAGACTCTAGAAATACAGGGGTCTAAACTTTACTGGTTTCCTTACCCTCACACCCTCCTCGGAGGTTTGTGAAAAGGTGCAGCAGATTTAGTTCAGGTATCAAATAGAGTTTCCAAAGATTGCCGAGTGCCTAAAAGATGGGTTAAAGAAGAAACTACTACAGCTCTTAAGGGTCTGGTAAATGCTGAGAATAATTGTCATGAGAATAGGAATTAACTCTCAACCTCACCACCTAATTAGTAATGAGAATGGACATCTGCTCTACGATGAGCGTAAATGTCCCTTCTCATGAGAGTGATTTCCTATTCTCATGACAATTATTTTCATCAGCAGTCTTATCTGAAATGTCTATGTGTACAATTTAAAGCACTCTCCACTTCGCTGCCACAGTTCTGTCGCAAAATTGGCAATATTGGCCTTACTAAGTTGATTTCAATATTAAACTCACTTAGGGTTTTTGCAAGCTCCAACTAGTCTTTGCTCATGAAAGTCTGCTCTATAATTTTAACAATTGTAAATATTTATGTTAATCAGATTCCACAAATCTGATATTCTAATAGGCGTGCAGAGCGAGGAATGCTATCTATAGGCGAGAACTAAATAATTATGCTGTGCCCATGTGCCCGTAATTCATTCTGCTGCATTGTAACAAAGCAGCGGAGCCCCATCAGGGCGGAAGGTACAAGTCCTACGTTAGGATTTTTAGCGCGGACTGGCCCAAAAATATCTCACATGCATGTACTAGTATATAGGACTA